TCAAAAGTATTCTCATGTTTCTAGATTTCTAGCTTTAGCTATTGTCTTTGGGACTATGATCCAGTTTCAGTTAATTTTATTTTTCTGAGACGAAGTCCATGTTGCCCGAGCTGGTCTGGAACTACCACACCTGGCTAATTTTTGTGAATTTAGGGTATGCCCAGGTTCAATTTGCTCCACACGGACATACAGGGACCCCAGCACCATTTGTTAAGACTGCCCTTTTCCCACTGAACCGAAGCCTTTGTTAAGGCCAGCTCCATCTGCTTTTGGCTTTTCTCTTCCGTCCCATTGACCTGCTTGTGTACATACCGTGACGCCAGCACAAACCATCTGAACTGCAGTTTTGTAAGTCCTGAAATCAGGTAGTGTATCTCATCTTTGTTCTTTTTTTAAAACTCTTTTAGCTATTCTAGGACCTTTACATTTTCATCTGCAATTTAGAATTAACCTGTCATTTCCAAAGAAAAAGGAAGAGGAGGAGGAGGAGGAGGAGGAGGCTGAGATTACGTTAGACCTATAGATCAACTGAGGAAAACTGACATCTTAACATCACTGAGTCTTCTAATCTGTGAACATGGTTTATCTCTCCATTTACTTAAGATTCTTAAGTTTCAACCTGCCATGTTCTGTAGATTTTGTAAAAGTCTTGTGTATCTTGTATTACAGTTATTCCTAGATATTTTATATTTTAAACTATTATAAATGGAAATTATTTAAAACTTTATTTTCCAATATTCATTTCTGATATAAAACATTTTTAAAAATATTGATTTGTACTGCATGACCTTGTTAAATTTACTATTTAGTAGTATCTATGTTTTGCAGATCTCTTAGGATAGTCTGTGTAGATCATCATGTTGCCTGAAAACAAATGCAGTTGTTTTTTTTTTTTCTTTGCAATCTGTATGTCTTTTATTTCTTTTTCTTATTGTATTGTACGGACGGGGACCTTAGGACAATGTCAAGTAGAAGGGGTGAGAGCAGGCATCCCTGACTTGTTTGTAGCCTTGGGGGTAAGCATGGAGCCTGTCATCACTAATCGTGTTCTCAGAAGTTTCTATAGATGCACTTCATTGGATCCCAAGTTCTCTTTTCTTAGTTCACCAAGAGTGTTTATCGTAAGAGGATGCTGAATTTTGTCACGTACCCTTCTATATCTGTTGACCTCATTATATTTTTTTCTTAATCTATCAATAGGGTGAATACATTGATTTTTGGATTTCAACCCCATCTTAGATAAAAACCTAGTTGGGCATGAGCTATTATTCTTTTTATGTATTGAAACGATTTGCAACATTCTGCTGAGGATTTTTGTGGAGATATCCAAGAGGAATACTGCTTTTTACATTTCTTATACTGTCTTTGTCTAATTTTGGTATTAGAGAAATCTCACTTCACAAACTGGATGGGAAACAGTCCTCCCTCCCCACAGTTTCCTGGGTTTGTCTAACATTGTTTTTATTTATTCCTCAAATGTTTGACAGAATTCACCAGTGGAGCCATCTGGGCCTAGAATTTTCCCTGTGAGATTTTAAATCATGGATTCAAATGTTTAATAGACTGCTGTTCAGACCTGTGAGTTCTTCTTCAATGAGGTTTTGTAGTTTGTGTCTTTCAAGAAATTGGTCCATCTCAGCTCAACTGCTGGTGTGTTGAAACAGAGTTGTTTATTCTCTTACTACCTTGTGAAGTGTGTAGGGTCTGTGGTAATGTCTTCTTTCTCATTCCTTACACATATCAGGAACTTAGTGCTCGGTTTCTGTCTCTCTGCATCACCCTCATCATTCTAGATATTGGTTTGGTTCATCAATTTTTTTTTTTTTTTTTTTTTTTTTTTATTTTTTAGACAGGGTCTCAGTTTGTGGCCCAGGCTGGAGTGCAGTGGTGCAATCATGCTCACTGCAGCCTCTACCTCCCAGACTTAGGTGATCTTCCCACGTTGGCCTCCTGAGTAGCTGGGATTACAAGTGCATGTCACCCTGCATAATTTTTGTATTTTTTTTGGTAGAGACAGAATTTCGCCAGGTTGCTCAGGCTAGTCTCAAATTCCTGGGCTTAAGTGATGTGCCCACCTTGGCCTCTCAAACAGCTTGGACTACAGGTTTAAGCCACTGCACCTGGCCTGGTTTATTAATTTTATTGATGATTTTAAATAACCAGCTTTTAGATTTTATTTCCTGTCTTGTTTGCTTCCTATTTCACTGATTACACTCTTATCTTTATTATTTCCTCTTTTATACTGAGTTTGGGTTTAATTTATTTTTCCAGCTTATTAATTTGAAACCGTAGGACACTGATTTGACACGTGTTCTTCTCTGAGATAAGCACTTAAAGCTATATATTTTCCTCTAAGCACTGCTTTACCTGCATATTATACGTTTTGTGTTTTCACGCTCTTTATTTGTACCCTTTAACATTTTAATTCTTGGAAACTATACTGAGCAAAGAATCCTAAGAACCGAAAATGCTTACGTACAAAGACAGTCATCACACCATTTTTCTAATCATGCAGCATTGAAAACAACCTTAACTTACAACAATATGGTGTCATCAGTAAGGTAAATCACTGTATCATCAGGTGGCTATTATGCAGGCATTAAAAACATTCAGAGTTGTCAGTTGAATCAGAAAGCACTTCTGTTCTAATGCTGGCTTTTTATAAAAGGGATCAAAATCGTGTATATGGAATGATCAGAGTGCTCACTATATTGAGCTAAGCATAAAATTTGACAGACATATCAAAATTGTGCAGTGCTTGGTTCATTTGGAGTGAAATTGTGAGTGAACGTTCTTCCTTGAATCCTCTGTATCCTGCTTTACAGTTTTAAGATGTTGAGCATATGACTTCTACACAGAAAAGGTTAAGTGCTCACCATGCTGCAATGAGCATGTGGCTTTTATAAGGAAATGTGCAGGACGCTGGCATGACGTCACATGATCTGAATGACCCTAGCCTGCTCCTGCTCCTGGAATCTCAGCTTCTTGAGGACAGTGTCTTGTTTTGTTTTTTTTACCATCTCACCCCTGGTGTCTAGAATAGTGCATAGTGCAGGGAATGCACTAAATATTTGGTGCAATGCATTCATGAATTGAGTAAAGGAATGAATGTGTGCATGCGTGCAGAGTAAAGACTGCCCTGTGCTGCCTGGGCCAGCTGGCTTGGAGTCCTGGTTGGGCTCTGTTCCTGGCTAGGTATCCTAGAGGCTGTGTGAGGTTGGTAAGCTTCTTAATTCTACAGCCTTGGTTTCATTACATATAAAACAGACGTGTACACCTTGTAAGACTGTTGTGAGGATTAGTAATAGGAAATGCAATCCCTCACACACATCTGGTGCCTGAAAAATGGTTACTCTTACTAAGGTGATTAATGGAGAAAGTATCCTCATAATTCATCAGCTCCCTTTCTAGATGAATTCCAGGTAACCTATTTGCCCACTAATGGCAAAATACCTCTGCCTAAAGTGATCAGGTCTAGCCCCTCCCAAAGAGGAAAGAGCCCTGATTCCTTTCACTGTGCCTCCAGCCAGGCTCTGCCTACAGAGAATTATCTTGAGTCACTTAACCTCAGTGTTTTCATATGCAATAAAGTAAGGTTGACCCACCTGGCAGGAGTATTGACGATCAATGATTATTAGATGACTGAAACGCACTTTGCGGCTGTGCAGTGCTAGACAGGGACATGCTGCTGGCGCCTTCTCAGTGTGCGGTGGACATCCTGAGGGATGCTGGCTGTAACCCCCTGATAACTGAATCCGTAAGTCAACCGGTTACTATCTTTAAGTAACAATATGATAGTGGCTAATGTGCTGTTCTTTTTAAAAAGCTTACAACATACTGTTGTTTTTAAAAGACTTGGGCTGAATTTGCCTCCTGGGACACCAAGAGCATGGCTCAAGCGGCTGACCAGGCTGGAGTGGGTTGGCAGCTGCTGAAGAATTGATCCACGGTAGGAGGAGGAAAATTGGGCAGGCTCTGCTTCCCACCTCCCTCTGCCCCTTGAAGGTCGGGTGGGCCTAGGCTCTGCTTAAGCCAGGTAAGCCGGGCTTTGGGAAACTTGTTACTATTATTACTTTGGCAAAGGAGCAAAGGCAGGGGGCAGCATTTCAAGGGTAAAGAAGGGCAAACCAGGGAGAGGCATCCTCCTTCTCACCTGGTTTCATGAGTGTGGCTTTTAACACAGTAATGGAAGTGCCTGATGTCTTTCTGAACATAGGAGAGTCTGCCCTGGGCACAGTGACAGGTCTACCATGCTCATGCAGCAGTCGGCATGCCAACATGACCTAAGGTGAAGGGCCAGCAAGGTCGGCCGGGAGAAGATGAACACAGGAAGGGCACACCCACGACCCCAGGACTCGAGTGAGCATGAAGTGAGCCAGCAGAGACCGAGGGTGGTCAGCACAGGTGAGAGGGAAGAGCAGGAATGCCACAGACGCCAGGGCCAAGCTCACGTCCAGGAGGGAGCCAGGGGTCAACCATATTGGTATGTCAGCTGTGATTTTTGAATTAGGATGGCCCAGTGGTGTGTGGGCATGAGCAGCACAATTTGAGGGCCTGGAAAAGAGTGGTCCACTGGCATGGGGGCAGAGAGAGGGGAGGAAGATGGATGGGCATAGGCTGGAGGGCTTCCAGAGATCTGAGACCCCGCAGCATGCTGTGAACTGCTGATGTGACCCATGTAGCAGCATGGAAGAGGCACAGGGCAGCCACCAGATGCTGGACCTGTCCACTTAGTGGTATGAACACTGTCAGAATCCAAATGGAGTCACTGGTATTAAAATCCCTGACATATAGACAGTGGAAGGCCAAGAAGGGAGGGTTCTTGTGCACACGCTTGATAGCAAGAACAATCACAAGAGATGGCAGAAACCACAGCCTTGCACAAAGACTGTCACAACTCACACTTCTGGGAGGACATCTGCCCAGGAGCTGCCTGTCCAGCCTCAGACTGGCACATCCTTCCTGGCGATTGTTGTAGCCAAGGATCATTGACTCAGAACAATGATGTAATCCGTTTATCTTTTGAAAACCTTTGTCTTCCTTTACCCTCCTTGACCCACATCCAATTTACGATGGCACATATATTTGATTGCAATGAACGCTCCCGAATAAATCTCATTTTGTTTTAGAGTCTCTCTCTGTTATTTACGTTGACAGTGGGAAAATCCCAGACTGCAAATCCTTCCTCAGCCAAGGGCAAAGGTGTCCTCCAGGGAGGGTGGCTGGTGGTCAGAGAAGGAGAAGTCCTGGAGTGGTGAGCACCTGTGCAGAGCCGGAGGGCCTGGCGCTCAGCGTGGGCGTGCCTGGGGCCCGAGGGATGCCAGGGGATGGGAATGAGGCATTCTCTAGTTTTCCCCCTAATGCCCCTCTCTAATTTTGGCGCAGGTTCACTGCAAGCGAGGAATCAGTCCTGGGGGCCATCTGGGTGAGTGCAGGGGGGCAGGGAGAGGTGAGGGAGTGGGTACACAGGAAGAAGAGCTGTGCACGTGCATGTTCGTGCATGCAGATGGGTGTGTGTGCGTGCCAATGTATGCGTTTGTGTGTGGGTCTTCGCATGTGTGGCTGGGGGGGTGGTGGCTAGTGAAGGCATGGGAGCAGCATGGGTTGCAGGTTTCCATGAGGCCCCACAGAAGTGAAACTGGAGGAGAGGAGGTGGTGGGGAGGGCAAGGTGCCTGGATTTGAGCTTGGTGTGGTCATTGGTGATGAGAAAATCCAGGCTATGCCCAGAGCAGTGGATGCTGTGGGAGGTCCAGGCTACAGCCCTTGGGTTTTGGAGGCTCTGGTAATGAGCCTGGGGTACAGGAGACAGGAGAACTGGGAGGGGCTGAACCTGCGGTGGGTGCATGGGAAAGCAGAGGTGGCTGCCTGCAAGAAGGGCAGAGGTCAATGGCCAGGCATGGCAGGAGCTGGCTGGTGAGGAAAGGACGAGCAGGGGGCAGGGAGGGCACAGGGGGGTGGGGATGCCACCTTGGCAGGCTGTGAGGGGCAGCCTGTGGGGAGAGGTGAGGAGGCAATGCCCCTTCTCAGCAAGCACCTTCCGAGCACCAGTGACACCCCCAAATTTGGTTTCTATTAAGGGTGCCCTTGGCATGTGCTGATTCTATTCAAAAACAAGAGACTACATACATCAGCCAGCTCTGGCTGCCGCAATGAAATACCGCAGACGGGAAGCTGTAGTGACGACTTTCACTTCTTACGGTTCTGGGGCTGGAAGTCCAAGATCAAGTTCCAGCAGCGTCGGTTTCTGGTGCGGGGTTTGTGGCTGGCTGGGGTGGTTTCCCGCGGCGCACTCCTACAGCGGCTTCTTTTGCACATGTGAGGGTGGGGCGAGCACTGACCTCTTTCTATTAAACACCAAGCCTATTGCACGACTTCATATTAATTATCCCCGACAGCCCAGCTCCGAATAATCACATGGGGGTTAGGGCTTCAACCCATGCATTCTGAGGGTGGCACAATTCAGTCTGCCGCAGGCACCTCCTGAATAAAGTAGACATTTTGCTGGAGTCAGGCTCAGTGGCAGCTGTGAGGAAGAGCCCTGGAGGTGCTGAGCCCCAGCCTGCATCACCATCCCTCGGCCCCGCCCCGCCAGCGGGTGTGTTCCTAAACAGAAAATGCCCCTTTGGACTCCACTGGGCACTGCCTTGGCGGTTTACTCAGAAGCTGGAGGCTGGCCTTGCTGGGGCCAATTGCCAGGGCCCCGGCCACCCCCACTCTGTGTCCAGAAAACCCCCGGAGCGGCTGCTCCGTCTGCACGGTGGCCACGGGCCACACGGGGCTGCTGAGCGCTGGAAACGCGGCCTGTGAGCAGCCGCCAGAGGCAGGTGCCCGTGCACGGTCTCCCTGTGAAGGAATCTCACGGATCAGGTCCGACGCCAGTTACACGTTGAATGATGTATCTATGGGGTCGAATCAAACGTACTGTTAACTAGGGAACTTTGGCTGTTACCTGTTACCTTGAAAAAAACGTAGCTACTAGGAGATTGAAGATGACAAACGTGGTTCTCCTTCCGGCTACGGGCCGGCCCCGCCCCCGCCCCTCCTGCGCACGGATCAGCGCTGCTGCCCCCGGCTGTGCGCTCCCGGACCCCGCCAGCCCCTCTCCACGCGGACCCCGGGCCGCCCCTCCCCTCCGCCCCCCTCCCCTCCCCTCCCCTCCGCCCCCTCCCCTCCGCCCCCCTCCCCTCCGCCCCCCTCCCCTCCGTCCCCTCCCCTCCCCTCCGCCCCCTCCCCACCGTCCCCGGCCCCCCGACACCGCCCCCCACGAGTGAAGCCGCGGCTCCGGAGCCGGCCGCTCGCGCCGGAGGCCGCACAATTCACGACCCGACTGCGCCGAGGGCCGGGCGCGGTCCCTGCCGGCGCGAGTGCCGCCGCGCCGGTGAGCTCCCCTCCCCGGCCCGCCAGGCGCGCGGTTGGACCATGGGGGCTGCACCCTCGTGGGGATGGGAAGCGCCCTCGGAGCCGCAAGGGAGCGCACGAGCCGCAGGCGCCCGGAGCACATGGCCCCTTTAAGAGGCGCCGCCGGAGCGAGGCCGTGACGTCATAGGCGCGCGAAGGGCGGAGTCTGTGCGCAGCCGCGGCGCTGGGGGCGGGGCGGGGGCGCGGCGTTCCTGCGAGCCTGACTGACTGGAGCGCGGTCGAGGAGCGGCCAGTAGCAGGCCGCCGGACGCAGGAGCCCCTCAGTAGGCCACGCCCCAACGGGAGGCCCCGCCCCGGAGCGGGCCACGCCTCCAAGACGGCCCGAGTTTCCACGCAGGCCCCGCCCCACTCCGTTTAGACCTAGGCCCAGCCCAGCCCCGCCCCGCAAAGCTCTGTCCCTGCGAGAACCCTCCCGCACAGGCCCCGCCCCGAGCAGGCTCCGCCCCGCGCAGGCCCCGCCCCGCGCAGGCCCCGCCCCGGGCTCGGCTCCGCGGGGCGGGACTTGCCCTCAGCCGGAGTCGGCGGCGGCGGCTGCGGGAACTTTCCCGGCGGATCTAATGGCTGCGCGCGGGCCGCTGTGAGGCGCGGCGGCGAGCGACGGGCGCGGGGCCGCGGAGCAGCGAGACAGCGAGCGAGCGAGCGCGAGGCCGGAGCCCCGGCCAGGCCCGGCCGACCCGCCGAGCCCGCGATGCGTCCCGGGGCCGGCCCCCGGCGCAGCTGACGCCCCGCGGCCCCGCGGAGACCCCGGCCGGCCGGTCCCGGAGGAAGCGGCCGCCGCCGCCGCCCAGCCCAGCGCCCGCGCCGCCCGGGCACCATGGCGGGGAAGGCGGCCGCCCCGGGCACCGCGGTGCTGCTGGTCACGGCCAACGTGGGCTCGCTCTTCGACGACGTAAGTGCCCCGCGCCGGCGGCAGGCCGCGACCCCGAGCCCGAGCCCGGGACCCCCGACCCTGACCCTGGGGCCCCGAACTCCCAGCCCTGGACCCCGGACCGTGAACCTCCAGACCCCGAGGCCCCAGACTCTGATCCCTGGAGCCGGGACCCCAGACTCCTGTCCGGATCCCCAAGTCTGGGAGCCCAGACCCCCTGTCTTGATTCCCCAAGCCGGAGACCTGAAGACCTGGACCCTGAACCCCAGAACCCTGGACTCCAGACTCCAGCAGCTGACCCTTGACCCTGGGACCTCTGAACTCCTGTCTCCAAATCCTGACCTGGAAACTCCAATATTAAAACCCTGTCCTAACCCCTGGTAACAGTCCCTGGAACCCAAACCCCAGAAACCGCGTCTGTGCGCACCAAATGCAGCCCTAGCCCTGATTTCAGAATCCCCAGAACCCTGGCCCTGGAGAGCCCAGCCCCAGCCCCAGCCTGAGCCCCAGATCCCTGGTCACTGGAACCACACATCCTTTCTGCAGAAGCCTGCTTATGGAACCAGCTCTCAAACCTCTGTCTCTGGTCCCTGAACACTGGGCCCCAAATCCTGAAACATAACCATAAACCCTAACCCAGGAACTTCTGACACTGGACTGTAGCCCCAGCATCCTGTCCCTGTTCCCCAAACCCTGAATCCCAGCCTTCAAACTGTGGTCTTTTGCACCCAGAGCCAATATAGGCTGACTCTGAATCCTGAATTTCAACCTCAGGCCCCAGCTTGTGGCCCTGAGCCTGTGTCCCCGACCCCTGAACCTGGAACCCTGGTTCCAGAGTCAGGCCCCAAACCTGATTCTGAACCCTGCCCTTGACTCTGGTTGCTTGATCCTATCATCGGTCCCTTCCTCCGACAAGCTCCTGCCCCTGAATCCTGTATCCTGCTCTTGAAGCCTGGGCCTTGAGCCTGCTTCCCAAGCCCCAGCCTGTGACTCCCGTCCCGGGCCCCTGTCCTCTGACCCTAGGCCCTTCACTCTGGCCGTCACCCCCAGGTCCTGGATGCCTGGTGCCGGCCTCACTGTCTGTCCCTGCAGGGCCAGAGGGTAGGATGCCCTCATTTAACCCTGTAACTTAGTATCTCTTTCGTTCTTAAATAAGGGAAGTCTGTTGAAAGCCCTGTAGGACTCTATGTTTCTTGTTTATTAAAGAAAAAGATGCTGAGAAGCTCCTCAGGGCCAGAAAGGGAATACTGACTGCCTATGGCCTTTACCTTCCAGGGCCACTCCCACCCAAGCCTCAGTCCCACCCAGGATCCCGGGGCGGCCCCATCTCTGGAGAGACCAGGGAGCGAGGCCCAGGGTGCAGTGGGAGCTCCCCGGAGACAGGCCAGGCTGACCTAGTTCGGCGTTTCAGCCATGGTGCCACCCTGCTGTTCGTACTCGTGCTGCCAACCCAAATAAAGCAGAGTGCGGCTCCAAGTGGCCCAGATGGAGGCTGTGGAGCCGGGGCGCTCCCTCCCTCCCTGCTAGGTGAACGGTGGGGCGCCGTACCAGCTTTATGATGGATGTGTGCCACTGTTGCACGCATGGGTTCCATTTCAGGAGGAGGTCTTGTGTCTTTGCTGGCAGCAGGCATGGGTGAAGTGTTTGATGAAGCTGAGTTCACACTTAGGCTAGGTTTGGTTTTTATTAACAAAAGGTGCTGTTTTTGTGTTCTTCGTGTGTATTACACTGGCCTGCTGGGGATGAGCTGCTTTCCCTCACACTTCAACTAGGTTTATGTTTGATCGTTTTTTACAAAAGTGCCTGGCATGGGTGTGTGTCTGTATATTTGGCATTCTATTCTAGGCTTTCCAGTAACGTATCACTATAACATGGTTTTGTTCGGATGATTCAGACCTGCTCGCTGTGGCTTCAGAGCTTCAGAAATGTCAGGAACATTAAGCATGGTGGGGCGTTTTAGTCTCAAACGGAGAATAGTTTTGCTGTGCAGGCATTCTTTCCAGTAATCTTTGATTCTGAGTTCTAGCATTTTTGTTGTGTTTCGACTTTATACACATATTTCTCCCGGTTGATATTAAATTGGGTAACTTAATTCACTTTTGTTTAGCAACATATTGTCTCTGAATTTTCATTTTTCTTAAAGGTTATGTGGAATTTTGCATTATGTTTATGTTTAGAAGGAACATTTGTTTCGGTAAACAGTACATAGGTTAATTCTGAAAGGTGTGTTGTGATGTAAGAGCTGAATGGAAACGTATCTGTCCGTAACCAACAGATTTCTTAATGTGTGCAGCTCAGTTCCCAGGGGCCAGACCAGCCCCTTTCAGGGGAGACCGGCCAGTCACTCACATTCCCAGGCCCCCTTCCTGGGTTGAGGTTCGGGGTGTGGCACGTGCTGGCTGGAAGCCTGTCCAGTGGGAGGGAACTTGTGAGTGAAGGAGGCTTTGGTCCCTGCTTGGCCCTGGATTTCAGGGGACCCTGTTGGTGGTGGTTTGCCTCCGTGCAGCCCGTCCCGTGCTGGTGAACGCACCCTGCAGGCCGTGCTCAGGCTGTAAAGGAATCTTTCCTGCCCAGACTCGTCCTGTCGGCAGCCAGGCTCGTCTGTGAGCAGTGCTGGAGCCGGTCCCGTTCCGAAGAGGCAGATGTTTGAATCTGACGCAGAGATGCTGCCTGCGGTGGACTCTGTTTTTCTTTTGTGCACAAGTAGAGGCGGTTTGCTTTTGGTTTTGCAGTTTATAAAGTCTCACCTCATAAACCCCTTCTCCCCCCTCTCTCTTTTTTTTTTTTTTTTTTCCCCAGACAGGGTCTCATTCTGTCACCCAGGCTGGTGTAGTGCAGTGGTGTGATCATGGCTCACTGCAGCCTTGACCTCCCAGGCTCAGGTAAACCTTGGTGTCCCGAGTCGCTGGGACCACAGGTTATGTGCCACCATGCCTGGATAATTTTTGTGATTTTTGCAGAGACCAGGTTTTGCCATGTTGTCCAGGCTGGTCTCGAACTCCTGGGCCCAAGCAATCCACCTGCCTTGGCCTCCCACAATGCTGGGATTACAAGTGTGAGTCACGGTCCCAGTACAGAGGTGACCCCTCCCACAGTGCTGGGATTACAGGTGTGAGTCATGGTCCCTGCCCAGAGGTAACCCCTCCCACAGTGCTGGGATTACAGGTGTGAGTCACTGTCCTGGCACAGAGGTGACCCCTCTGGAAGCGCTGTGTGCATAAACTTCAGCTGTGTTTTGTAGCATCCTGGGATCCACCCGGAGTCCTGCCCGGCCGCGTTTTCTCATCACTACTCCATCTGCACGGTGCCAGAGTGGCTGTGCTGTGGGCTTCGAGGCTGTCCCCACTGGGGTTTCTTCTGACCCTGTGCAGACAGTGTTGCTGTAAATGCTTTACAGTGTACCAGTCCCCAATCCCTTTTCCCTGAAAGAGTTCTTGTTTATGTTGGTTATAACTACCAGTATTTCTCATATTGGGAGCTGAGACTGCACGAGAATACGCAGCTCACTGCGCTAGCTGGCAGAGGATGACATCATCCCCCGTCGCAGGCACCCCTCAGGTGTTCACTGCTGTTCTTCCGTAGGACAGAATGAGAACAGAAAGAGGAGGCGTTCCGTAGGATTCGGGAAATAGTTTTGACCCAGTCAACCTGTGAAAAGCCGTCCGCAGCCCAGTTTTCCCTCCCCAAACCATCATGGGCATCCCTGTCTCTGGCCAGATGCCTGGGCCTGGAGGTGGCTGGGGTGGCTGGGACTTTTCCAGGCTTATGATAGGGACTGCCAGACC